TATATATATATATATATATATATATACTCATTGGCTTTTATATTGCAGTCATGTTTCTCACATCTGGCGAAAACTTCTTATCTCATGTCACGCAAAACGCATTTTATTCGTCACATGAAACAATATAATTGTTAAAGAACGTCATTCACGAACACAGATAACGAAATATTCTCTTCATAAAATCGCTATATATATTATTGTAATATAAAGATACAAATGAAAAAGACATATAAGAATCAATAAGACATTATTTAATTTTCTGTGCGTCAAGACATAAATGTATTCTTAACAATAAAATTTAGAACGAAATTATTCGAGAACGTACAAATTATATGAGTCAAGATACAAAAAATTATTACATGTTTCAACCTTTTGATTAGGTCATTTTCAGATAAAAATATTTAAATTATTATGAACATTAAAACTGAACGTTACATGTATAATCAAAAGAAGAATACTTCTCCCCAGGCATGATCACGGCGTTGATAGCAAACGATTGTCAGACCGTATCTTTACTTAGTTCACTCGTATTTTTACTTACTGATAAGAGAAGAATCCTTTACTAATTTATATTTATTGTAATATAAGAAAATCTCACATTCACTATAGTAATAATTCAGGCGATAAGATATTTCTATGTGTATATATATATATATCCTATGTGTATATATATGTATAGATAAACAGAAATATAAAACTGTATCATTTCTTGTGATAGATACAGTTGGTTAAACTGAATAGAAAAATCTTCTATGGTTCTGTGCAGATGCTTATTTGCAGATTAATTAATTTCTTGTAATTATTATAATAACAAAATTTTTGAGAACTCTTTCCTATTCAACTTCATCACGAAAAAAAAAGATTAGTTGCAGCAGAAAAATTTGCGTGTCGTAGCTAAATTGCAATCGTAACATATGAACACCTAAGGTCGTATTTGCGAGGTCTAATTTCCATTAGTTGTGAGGCCTAAACATTATCATTGTAACAGACAAGCATTTTGCTATTATGTCGATCTTTTGATCATTGCAGCAAACGTTTTCTATGTAGCAGACAATTTGGTAGCAAGTACAGTTTCAGCAAATCATATTTAGCTGTGGTAGAAACAATTTTCTTTTACACTGACATATTCGATAACTATGACAACTAACTTCATGCTGCTAAATAAATTTATCTGTAACAGATATGCATACTTTGCTATCACGTCCTTATATTAGCTACAGCAGCAAATTCTTTGAATGTATTAGCAAATTTCATAGCAATATTAGCTAATGCAATTTCAGAATTAGCTATAGTCAGAAACATTTTTTTTCCGTGATCCACTCTATCTTATCATAACAAGTTATATGGTAGTTGTTATTATCAGACACTCTATATATATATATATATATA